GACCCAACAGAAAACAACGCCCCCCCCCCCCCATTGTCCTGCTGTATTGAGTTACATCTGATTTATCCTCAGCGGTCTGCGATGCCCCCAAAGAGGATGGGAAGTGGACCGGAAGCGGGGGGGAGTTGCTCCTTCGTTTCACAGCCCTGCCTGCCAAGGGCCATTTTAGCCATGCAGAGTCGCACATCGGCAGATGCACACGTGACTCATCTCGCTAGAAGAGTCACCTTTGCGGCAGAACTCTTGAGGACTACCGGCCGGCTCGCGGACGCGCAGGCGGGACGGCACGGTTACCTTTGGCTGGAGTGCTTCTCTTTGGAATGTCAATTAAGTCCGCAGCAGCGTCATCTGTATCTTTCTTTCCTGGTTCGAAACACAAAATGGTGGGGAGACCGTGACCAGGAGAACACAACCTACTAAGAAACAGCATTGGAAGTAGGCTATTCAAGATTCAAGAGGTTTATTCGTCACGTACAGAAAAAGGCTACAATTGTCTCTCTCTTGACCTGTACTTTTCCAGAGTTTCATTTTTCCCCCCCCCCCATCTGGCTTTCAATAAAACTACCCACAGAAGCATGTCTAGAGAAGGCCTCATTCCCAATGAGAGTTTTATCAGCAGGAATTGCATTTTCAGTGGCGTCAGATTGGATAACTGCTATCAAACAGGACTTCCGCTGCCGTTAAAGCCTTTTACAGAATGTTAGTCGGGCCTCAATTGCTTCACTGGTCAGTGTTAATTAAGCCTGCAGGAGCAGCAGCCGCAGAACGGGTTAAGGAGAAGCATCTTACCTTTGGAAAACCACTCATCTATTCAGAGGGAAGAGGAGGGGTGGGGGGTGGGGTGGGGAGAGGAGGCGCGGCATTTGAGGGAAAGGTGGGGTGGGAAGAGAAACAATGGCAGCGTGAGAAACAGTGACAGCGTCCCGCCCACCAAAAAGCAAACACCCGACAAAGGTGAAAGCTGACAAACACCCCCAGAAAGGCAGCAGTGACACGGACCCAGGGGGGGGGGGGGGGGAGCAGACGATGCTGGACAGCCATCACCGCACACATTCCAGGACATCCTTATCTGTACATCAGCTCATGCCTATATGTGCTCTTAAAAACCGACAATTATACTGCACCGGTAACTTCAGTCGGTATCAGTTCATACTTTCTTCATAATTGAACAGATGATCAGAATGTCAAATCGACACAGAGGGCCTTTCTTCCGTGTGCATTTGAACGCTGCCTCTCTAGCAAGGAGGAGCCACACTGACCTTTGCCCTTGCGTGATCCAAAACAGCTGGCCTTGTGTGCAGAGCCGGGGGCGTTGGCCTGGTTCTGGGGTGTGGAATCCAGGTAGCGCTCGCACCCAGGCACCTCTCGGTGGACCTGATAGGAGAGGTTCCTCAGCAGACAGACGCTGTTCTCTATAAGCTGCAGAGACAGATGCACCGGAGGTGGCCATCAGGGAGCGTGTTAGCTTAGCCACGAGCACGACGGTCCGGTTCAGACAGATGGAGCGAACGCTGGATCCAAACAAAGCCAGGAGCGACAGCTGGACTCGGTGGCCACGGTCGGCTCCATTTACCTTGTTGTCGACGTCTTTGCGGTCGATCTGCGATTGGACGATATACATGATGGAGTCGACCAATCCGCTGCATTCCCGGAGCTTTCGCCGCGCCTCACTGCGCTCCGAGCTCACGTTTCTGGGGATGATGAAGCGGGTCGTCACGGAGAGTGTTGCCATTATAGCATTAATGGGATAATTAATGGGACCACTAAAGGCCCTGGTAAAGTCACTTTCTCAAATCACATTTTTATACAAACTGCTTACTTTTAACATCAAAGGCTAACAGATCTCAGCCGCCTAGCGCTGTATCGGCACACAGCCTCTGGCCTCTCGCAGGCCGCACCCTCGTACCTGAGGCAGCCCGCTGTGTTGGTCAGAGCCGTCTCCCACTCCAGGTGCCGGGGCTTACAGCTGTCGTCGACCGTCTTCCCCCCCATGCCACTCTCCCAGCCGGAGTGGGGCACCATCACCTCGTCCGACAGGGCGTGCAGAGCGTGATCGACAATCTCCATCTTGACACAGTCATGAGATGACAGATTCCACAGGGTCCCTGCAGAAACCAAGTGCAAATGGCACATTGGAGATTCACGCTGCAATAGTACCAGTGATGGCCTCCAACATCCTGATCCAACACAGCGTCAGATGGTACCAGTGATAGTGTCTGTGAGGTCCTGGTCCCTGGTCTTCCTCAGCAGCCTGACTAGGGCCGGGACACCGTCGCAGTTTTTGATGGCGATCTTGTTGTCTGGGTCCCGGCCGTAGGAGATGTTCTTCAGAGCTCCGCAGGCAGCGTGGTGCACCTCCTTCTTTGGGTTGTCCAGCAGGGAGACGAGGGCAGGGATGCCCTTCAGGCGACGCACGTCCGACTTTACCTGGGGAGCGAGGCAGCGGGTTAGGTCACCTTCCAGGCAGGAGAGAACGGGGCGTGTGGGATTTGTGTGGAATAGGCACTGGCTTATTTAGCAGGCTTTTGGCGCTTCAGGAATGCGCCGTGCCCAGTTCTGAAGGCAGAGGTGTTGCCGCGGCGTGTTCATGCACACGGCATGCAGGAAGGGGAGGTGCGCAGTGAGTAAATGCGCTTTATTGCGTCATGCGCTACGGGGCAGTGCTGCGTGTGTGCGCTATTCCCCCGTGCGTGAAGGTGCGGCCCTCACTACCTTGTCATTCTTGAAGGTGAGGTGCTGCAGGAACGCGGCGGCGTTGCTCTTGACCGGGTCCAGGCGGTAGTTGAGCATGGTGATGACCTCGGGGAGCTCGGGCTGCCTCCAGGCCGTGGACACGTCGCCCTTGCGCAGGGTGCTGTCCAGAGAGGCCATGCTGCCCCTGTCCATCTGCGCCATCTGTGGGGGCCAGCAGTAGGGGTCCACCCCTGGCCCCCCCATGTCACCATCCAGGGTGCCCTCACAACTCCTGCAAAAACAAATCCGTTCATTACCGCCCTTAGAGCTTCTAGGGGCAAAAAAAAAACAAATTCTGATCACCCAGGACTCCCACACTCACCTGAGCCTACGACGATCCACACCACCTCCACCTGGGCCTAGCCTGGGCACGGTCCCGTAGGCGGGGTAGACGGGTGGGGGGGCCATACTGTACTCCATGTCATCGTAGCCCAGGCTCCGCTGATCGTCCTCCGGGCCATAGGGCTCTGGCATGTATCGGGGCATGGATGACAGCTCCATGGCGCTGCCTATCCTCACCTGGGGCTGCGCTCCGTAAGGGTCCATCTGCTGCCGGCTGGGCGCACGGTAGCCCGAGTCCAGGGTCCTGTACCCATCCACCGGCCTAGCAGCAGGTGCCCACCATTAGCGTGGCACAGAGACATGCATGCGCACAAGCTTCAAGCTGGTGTGGAAAACACACCAGGATGCTCACCTGTAGCGCTCGTCCAGGCGTGCCCCCCTGCTCAGACTCACGTAGCTCTCCGGGTGAGGGGCAGGCATGTAACTGTCGTAGCCCCCCGTGGGCCCATAGTGGTAATTCCTGGGGACGGTAGCGGTCGGGTAGTCCCCGCCCGGACCCTGCCTGTAGACGCGGTCCAAGGTGCCCACATAGCCGCCGGATAAAGATCCGCCTCCGTCGAGCGACATGGTGTCAGACATGGACGGGAGGACAGTGCGTGTGGTGACCGTCTTCACAACTTTCTTCATCTGACAGAATTCGGCAGGGACAGACAGAAGGGGTAGGTTAGCATAGAATGAGCAGTACGCTACATACTTAAATTTCCGCATCAGCCCTTGCATTATCCCTGTACCGTTGTCTCTGTGCGGCGGGTGGTTCCATCGTCACTGGTCTCCACTGAGACGACCGACGGGGACTGTTGTGGGTCCTCTTCCACAGTGTAAGTCTCAAGGACGTGGCCAGGGTCCAGCATCCTGTACTGAAACAGAGATCCGCAGAATGTAATTATGGAAACGGGTACATCACGAGCGTTGAAACGCACACCCAGCACCAACTGCCTTGCGCTGCAGAAAATGCTAAATTTTACTGGTCGTCCTTTTTAATATCGCAATCCGAAAACGATTCTCCACAGGTGCGTTTCAAAACTCAGGAGGGAGAATTGACCACGTGGCTTAAAAAATCTCCTCGATGAATAGCAAAGTTACCTGCGTCCCGTTTATGTATCCTTCACTCAGTTTGAGTCTGTCTATGTCCACATCACCAGCTACACGACCGTTCTGTGTGTGAGAGCGAGTGAGCGAGAGGGAGGGAGGGAAAGGAGGGAGAGAGGGAGAGAGAGGGAGAGAGAGAGAGGTCAGTTGTGAAGGCAGGGACACAGCATGTTCCCCGAAGCTAATTCCAGCTGAAACTGACATCACACTCAGCAAGTTGATTGTTCGTGAAAACGCTCGCGTCCCCTCACACAAGGGGGTGCCACAGACGTAAGAGACGTCACCGGTCTGCCAGTCCCTTTCACACGTTCATGCATTTCAGCGCCCAATAGAGTTTACCTGCAGTCTGCATTAGGACAGCGCAAATCTGGAGAAAGGGCTTTAAATGCAGTGTGATCATATAGTTTCATATATATATATATATATATGCGCACCAGATTGTCCTATCAAAGGTGGGGCAATTTGTCATCAATTAAAATGACATACCACCAACACTGACCACTAAGGGATGTAGGGAATATTGACCAAATATTTAATAAACCATCATTCTATGATACAGCCCCCTCCTCCCATAAGTTAATGCCACTTTATTTGAGGGGAGGGTGCAGCCTAGTGGTGAACAGTATTCAGGGTCAAATTACACAGTAAAGTGCTTTACCTTGACTGACTAGCATTCAATAGATAATTATAATGCAGCGTAAAAGCATGTGCACTTTGTAATGGACCTGAATGTGTTGCTAAACCAAGGAATTTGGTTGTTAATATACATTTCAGCACCATACAGGGATTACAGCTGGCAGCTGAAAGAAAAACATTTTACCATTAGCAGATTTAACATGAAAAAGACTTGCTAGAAAAAAAGAATTTTTCAGAGTGGGGGCATGGGGGCATGGGATGGTACCTTTTAGAAATGACGGCATTATGGAGTTATGGTTGTTTTTATGTTTGATGTTTGTTTGCATGCATTCAGAACCTTACAGTTTAGAAACATGCAAAAAGGTGGGCATTATTTGACACTGTGTACGGATAGCACCCTTCAATAACTATCCACAGAACTGTCATTCAAAAAGGGAGTCGCACATGCGGGAACAAACATCATGTGACCTGTGCAAGTACAAAGAAATGGATGGGAAGCAAAAAAGAAGGTCTGAAAGACTGAGGGACCAGGAAGGTGAAAACAAGGCTTTGGCATAGAGCTATGCATTAGTGGTCCTGCATCGCGGCTCCCTGAGCCCGTATACCAGCTCTGGAAAGATCACAGTGTCAGAGGATCCACCTTAACTCATTCCAGCCTGACGCCCAAGGCAGCTGGAGGCTTCTGGCTGCATCACAACAAAGCCACAAAGGGACTGAGAAACTACAGAGTTAATCCTACACCAGGCCTCTGAAGTGTCTGGGCCAGTTAGGATGTCCAAGTGTAAAGAGCAGTGGCTTACAGGAACGGCTGAATCCAGACGACCAGCTGATGCATAGTTCAAAACCGATACAGATTTCAACCAACCCGACAGCAGTGAAAACTAAGTGCTTCAAATGGAGGGATGAGGAGGAATGCACGGAGGATGGAGTCACACGGAAAATCAAGTAAGCCACTCTGCACAATGGGGTGGATGTCATGGAATGGTTTTGGGGGGGGGGGGGGGGGGGGGGGGGGGTTGGATGAGATCAGGGGGCCAGGACTGAGGCGATGGGATGGAAAGATGGGAATCCATGAATAAGCTGGGGGAGGGGGTTGGGGACGGACCAAAAAAGGAAGCATTACCTGCGGAGTAGGGAGGGGACGGGGGAGAGGGCTGGAGTGTCCGACTCGTCTCCTCTCCTCCTCCAGAGCCCGAGTCAGGCGCTCAAACTGTACCTCCTGCTCCCGCACTGAGGCCAGGAGGGAGGCGGCACTCTCACACTGCTCCATACACACACTGAGAGAGAGAGGGAGGCTGGATTAAACCACTACACCAGGAAGGGGGAGGGGACTGGATTAAACCACTACACCAGGAAGGGGGAGGGGATTGGATTAAACCACTATACCAGGAAGGGGGAGGGGCTGGATTAATCCACTTGAGGCTGAGGTGGCAAGAGAGAAACCATTAAACCAGTCAAGTGTAAGGGTGGGGGGGGTGTGAACAAAATGGGTTAAATTGTGACAAGATTGAAAAGGGGCTTAAAACATGCAGCTGGCCTTACAGAATAGGATTACATAAAGTAAATCTTTTTAAAAATAAAATAAAGAAAAGGTAGAAACACAAGATGGACCAAGTATGTAACACACTAAAAAACAGTAGCCAGTACAGGAAACATGGGAGCGAGAGAGCACATAGCAAACAGGAGCCCACCACCTCAAGCCTATTAACTGTGGAGAAAAGAGACTTGGTGAAACAAACCCGCACAGCCACCCATATGAAGCTCAGGTGTGTGAAGTGCTTTAAACCCTGATCCCGGAAGAGTCCAGGCCCTCCCACTGCCATCTCTGCAGTCCTCCAAACTCTGCCTCTCAGTGCCTTGCAGTGTGAACTGGATTAGTGTCCTTCAATCTCATCTGGTTTTACTTAATTGCACGTTCAACCAGAGAGCTCACTCTTTGGGACCAACAATACCGAAAACGCATATCTAAGGTATTCCGGTACTTTCTGCATTCTGCTCTTAAGTGGCACTAATCTTGTTGTGCAAATGTCATCATGAGCCAAATAAAGAATCTAAAAATAAGTGACCCGCAAAGGGTATGTGACAGAGGACAGACCCCCAGGTGAGGGACAAGGACCAAAGTTGAATTAGCTGCCTGAAAATACAAAAGATGCAGGAAGAGGACAATGCAGATATTTACCTTTGTTTTAACTGAAACAAGGTGTTCAGGTTTGGAAGGCAGGAGGAAGTCAAAGGTTGAGATGTAGTTGCAAAGGCTTAAGTCGATCACAGAATCATACTGGGGAAATAGAAGAGAAGGATCGACTGCAGAGAGAAGTTCAAAATATACATGTATGAACACATTTCCAAGATAAACAAGAACCCACAGCCCCCTTGGCAATAAATTGCTGGAAGAGGTCTCCTTCTCATCCCTCCCCCAGCCTTAACGGACGGCACCTTCATTCACACAGGTGACCACAGTACAGTCATGTGCAGATAGGGGCCCAGGCACATTCCTCCCAGAATAAAGCGGTTTGCTACAAGGTCCACAGCTGCCAAAGACAAAGGGAACGCATCTGGTGCTGTGAGTTATGACCTTAACCAATCTTCACATCATACAGGTTAATTTGTTAAGTGGCAGCTTCTATAAAAAGATGGATCAAAAATACCAACTGTAAGAAGAGACCAACATTGAAAGACAGGCTTGTTTGGGGTTACACCAGATTATCTCACCTGGCTGGAAATAATTAGCAGCTAAAACAGTCTTTGCTTTTCACCTACTGTATGCTCATTACTCACCGGAAAAAGGAAAAAGCACAGAATAGTAAAATCCAAGGACAGCCTAAATTTTACCATACAACGAGAAAGAAGCTATTTAAACCAGCTGAAAGCAAGTCTGCGCGCACATCAGCTAATTTCAATGATACGTTTTTAAACACCACACACAGAGAGAGCCGCATGCCGACAAACAACGACTTTCCTTCTTTTAAATACGCTGGAGATGAACGTCCTCCTTGTCACGGCCTCCAGCAGAGCTGTGGTACAGCTGCTCCATCTTTACTGCAGCAGCGAAGCCATGCATTTCAGATGCTAAGAATGACTGGAATGCGAACCCCTGAAGTAGGGGCGCAAACCAAATGAATGGGAAGAAATGCAGTGACCCAGTTCCAACCTCACACAACAGAAACAAAATTCTTTCTATGCGTTTCAAGGGGTGGGATTCCACTACCGTTCCCATGAATTCTCATTTGCTTCCATCATTTCTCTGCCTACTTCAGTCAGAATATTAGCAGGCAGTAAAGGTAATAGGGTAAAGAAACCCCAGAGAAACACACCAATCTGGGGAAAATGCACACAAGACCCACACTGCACCCCTAGCCTGCGTGCTTCGGAAAGTACACCATATTTCTGTGGATCTACGAGGGGCAGCTGTTGGCTTTGCCGCGTGCCGCTGCGCACAGGTACCGAACTGCCATGACGCCGCTTCTATTTCAGGATCCTGAAAAATGCTTCTCTCATCAGTGCGAGAAGAACTCCACCTCCATGCAGGTGTTAATGACTAATTTCTCATCACTCCTCTCCATCTGCTCCATCCACACTTTGCATTTTTAAAGGAAATCCCACCCTCACAGAAATCCCACCCTCACAGACACCGTACAGCAAAGAGGAAGAACGCCGCTTTTGAAAAGCCACTTAAACACCTGTTGCTCCCCCACAGACGCTCATTTCCCTCTAATCAAGATGGCGCCACACGCAGGACGGCGAGCCAGCAGCCAGTACCATTTACATCCTGCTGCTCCCTTCATATCAGTCTCCCATGACCACCATGGAGGCGAAAGGTGAAAACCGTGCCGACAGTGTGTGTGGGGGGGTGTGTACTCCTTTTGGGGGTGTACTCCTATTGGGGCACGCACATCTTTCCCACCCTGTAGAAGGCAGTGGGGGGGGGGGGGGGGGGGGACACGCCGAACACCTTTGGTGTCACGCTGTTCTCTCGACATGGGAAATGGAACGGCGAGCCCGATCGCGTCAGCCACCGCCTGGATCGTCTGCCAGGCTGCTGAGTCAGAGGCCCTGGGGGGGGGGGGGGGGGTATGGCGGCACTGTGACGTGGCCGTTTCTGTGGCGGCCACAACAGCAGTGACGTGCCGAGCAGTTTCGTTAGGGCTACCCCCCCTCAGGCTAAACGATACCACGGCCGGTTCAGCACAGACACCACCAGACTGTCAGATTGATAAAAATGGAAGACCACAACCTGGGGAAAACTACAACATAACTTGCTTTTTTCCCCCCAACAACACTCAATCACACTGACCAAACCAGTCAAACCAGTTGGTCTTGGGAGTGGCAGAAAGAGCTGGGTGATAACATATTAAACCACTTTTACATCTAACATCCAGTATCCCAGAGTAGTAGCATTTCAAAACATAAGATGTTACATTTGTGGATCTTAAATGGTTTTACACAGATATGATCTTACTGTAGGAGTTTGTCTATGAAGGCAGGAAGACACAAATGAGTCATCATTCCAACAAAGAAACAACTTTGCAAAAGCAGATTTTTAACTATGAATATACAATAAAATAATAATAATAATAAATAAAAATCAAATTTACACTTCTACAACAAACAGGAAGAACCCAGCAAAATTGATGGCAGGCAGCAAATTCAGGGCAGTACAATCTTGAAGGGCAACACGGATTCAGCATCAGTCCACAGACCAGCAGCACATCAGGTTCTAATTGCCAGCATAGAATGTGAACCTCGTACAGGGACAGCCAGGGGTCAAAGAAGCAAGCAGACAGCTTTAAGTGACACAGATCAGGAAGGAAGTCAAAATGCCATGATGTCACGTGGTGGAGTGCATGGGCACGCCCAGTGCCGAGTTCCACCCCAGGAGACCTGCATGCCTTTGACCTGTGCCCAGCCAAACTGGCACAGTGTGGCAGACAGTGCCACTGCCAAGGAGAGCTGAGGTAGTGCTGCATTGCAGGGCTACCCACTGGAGCCAGCCATGGAGGACAAAGTACTGGAAGCTGAGCCCTCTGTGCCCCAGGCAGAGAGAGAGTGAGAGCGACCAGTGTGTGGGTGGGGGCGCGAGAAGAATGATTCACAGTTTCACCTGTGGACTGTGACCGACCGCCGACGATAAAGCGGCCACTGGAATGCAGTGACTTCATTCACAAAACTTTGTTCCGAAAATGGAAAGATGTCGTCTCTGTTTGCGGAGGCCTGAGCAATTCCTGAAGACAGGAAGCCAGGCAGAGGATTCCGACAGGAAACAAGGTCAAAGACATCAAGCTAATGGAAGGACAACAACGCAGTCAGAATTTACAAAAGCTGAGCAACTCAATAGGGTGAAAAATCACTCTGAATAAGAAGTCTCTAGAGGACTGAAGACGGGTCATGAAAAGGTTGTATATGAACAGAATCGCAGGAGAAGCAGCAGTAGCACCAACATTGGGGGGGGAATACTACTATCGAAAAACATCCAGGACTCACAGTGAAAAGTTCACACTCCACAGCCATATAGTAAAAGTTGGAAGTGACCTTTCAGTCAGATATAAACGTCATGCAGAAGCAAGCTGACAACCGGCTAAAGTAATTTAATACTGAAGTTCTGCAGGTTATGAACAAAAGTAGGATTTTACGGACGGGTGAAGTAGTTCTTGGAGTGAAAAAACAAGAACCGCAAGTGGCTAAAAACTGTAAACACAAGATTTGCAAACAATGAAAAATCGCAGCAGAATACATTTGATGAAATGAGACACTTAGCTGGAGCACATAAAGTATTGCCTGTTTATGAACTTCACACAAAGAATTAGATAAGAGTAAGATGAGGGGATTAATAAATACTAAAAATTAAATAAAAAAAAAATAAAAAAACACGACGCATTTCAGAAGTTACCATGACACACTGACAGAAAGAAGCCTCTCCTAATATCAATGCATACTTTACAACACTGAATAACCTTTCAGCCATCTATACTAGGGGAAAAAACATAAGCGTTTAAATACAGCCTATTTTGGGCAGCACGACAAACCAGAATTAACTGTGTTAAATTTAAGGTCATATAGCCATTTTGGAAAGTGAAGTGATTTCATTTCCGTGAGAAGAGAGTTCATTTTGACCTAGTATCACAGTTGCTATAAAACAAACTTCAGTTTGTGCTGCCCATTCCATGAAATCAGGACATGAAATCACCTTTCAGAAAGGTGCAGAAAAGAGGCCACAGCCGGCAAAGGGTCCTTCATGAGCCAGCGAAACGCGGTCGGGTCACCAACATTCATCAGCAAAGTCCCCAGTCAGAGTGTCTATAGGTCGGTCAGGCTCTCTTCGCATTGACTCTATAGCAAAAACAAAAACTGATTGATGGTCCTCACTAGAGTCCCAATGCTCTCATGCTTCATACCACGCCTCCCAGCACTGGGCCACAACACTCCTTACTCATATAAACACTTACAACCCAACAACTGACAGTTAACCGCCTATGTTCATACACCTACACTGACAGTGCCTTGTCTGACTACAAAGGCGCGCACACACAAAAGCTTTCCTATTGGCTCTTCTGAAAGCCTACACCCCTCCACCTGTTTACATACCTGGACACAAAGGAATCCAATAACTGCACCCTCCCATTACTCTTATAGTAAAGTGAAACTGCAGAATAAAGTGCTATATGTGTAACAGTCCAGTTAAACACCTCAGAGAGGACCTAAGACAGTCACTGTGTACTGCAGTACCCAGACTGTTCGGTGTAAACCTCTAACGGATGACCAAGTCAGTCAGGTACACCGTTCCCACTTAAATGCTGAGACATGCCAATTCTTGTACTTGTGTTTTCCCACTAAGAGGGTGAGAAAGAGGGTGGAATCTGAGGGGAAAGTAGAAGTCTGACACAGAAATGTCTCACAAGAGCAGGTCTCATGTCTGACAGAAGCATTCGTCATTGATTTGCAGATATCATACTGAGGAGGGTGACATCACCAATATACCATAGTGACAGACTAAACACTAGGGGGAGCTGCAGCATACATCACAGGTATGCACATAAACCAGTGTACTACATCAACCTTCTGATGTTTTGCCTGCATAAATGCTATCTTTATTAAGACTCCAAAAAAAAAAAAAGTTCACCTACGACAGGGTTCACCAACTTCAGTCCTGGAGGGCCAGGTCACAACACAGTTTTCAGATTGCCCTGCTCAGACACACACACTAAATCTGGTAATTAGCTGATTAAGATGTGTATGAGATGGGAAATTTGCAATCTGTGCTGGATTCCGGCACTCCAGCAC